GGCTGTAGCATTGAAAGCCAAGCCCCTTTGAAGGGCTAAAGGCCTAATATCTGTGCATTCACGAGGGCCACAGAGAAACATGCCCACAAACGCAGGTAAAACTCCTGCCATATTTGGATTTCTATAGGAATAATCAAAGGCCCCTCTCAAGGAGTTTTTAGAGGTAGGTCGGTGACCAAACCACCATAAATATTTATCTCCCTCCAATTTCCATGGTTCCTTGGGAGCACAATTCCCCCAAGATAATGGTAAGTACAATCTGAAGGATTGTGGCGTCTTCCAACATAAGGGAGCTGGTCTCAGAGGAGTTGGAAGTCTAGAAACATTTCTTTTAAAATTTGTTGGGTAAAAAATATCTCTCAATCCAAAACAAGGATGCCCAGAAGAATCAGAAGAAAAGTCTCCCAGAGAATAATTACTAAGTACCACACATGGTCCAGAAAGAGAGATACTAGGCATCTCTGAAATATTGCTAATCTTCCGGAAGCAGAGGGCCTGAGATATATCAAATGTTAAATTACCCAATGAAGATCTTTCTAATGCTGTATTTGCTGCAGGAACCCCCAAAGTATAGTTGGTGGAATAAAAGGATGTTAAAACAGAGCTTACTTTACTTACTGGCATCAGTATGGGTGGATTCTTCACCAGTGCCCATCTCAGGGCTCCCTCGATGTTCTTCGCTTGAATCCATATTGTCAGGACCAATAGGACCTGGCTCCACTGGCCAAACATTCTGCTCCGGCACCCAGATGGGTTTTTTGGTTCCTGGAGGGAAGAGGCAAATGGCCCCCCTCACCCTAGCCAACATGGGTGTGGGTGATTGCCACTGTCCTGTGATACTATCCTTCCATCTAACCCAACCCAGAGATTGGGAAGGTTTCTGCCAATGTCTCTCCATTGCTGATAGACCTTGTTTATCTACTGTTAAAAAATTTAAAATGTATAAAATTGTGGATAACTGGGTATTTGGGGAGGTGATGTACTTCCCCTTCTTTATTTTAGAAAAAAGTTGTTTAAGGGTAGCATGCATGCGCTCCACTATGACCTGTCCTGTGGGATTATGTGGAATTTCAAAGGTATGTGTAATTTGATGTTCTTGGCAGAATATTGCAAACCTTTGGCTGGTATAAGCTGGTCCATTGTCTGTTTTGAGAAAATCTGGAATGCCCATATAGGCAAAAGCCTGTCAACAATGAGCAATAACATCCTTAATCTTTTCTCCTGAATATAGGGAGGCATAAATTACCTTGGAATGAGTGTCTACAGAGACATGTAAAAATTTAAGTCTGCCAGCTTGAGACAAATGGGTAACATCCATCTGCCAAAGGTGGTTAGGACGGAGGCCTTGAGGATTAACACCTTCATTGGGGGCATTATGAAATGGAGCACAAGCTGGACATTGGGATGTGATTTGAGTAGCTGTGGCTAGAGTATAGCCAGAGTGAAACTTTAGAGAAGAGGCATTTAAATGATACTTTTCATGAAGATGATGGGCTCTTTGTTCCTCAGAAAGGAACAATGCGATTGGGCAGGTGAGGGAATCTGCAAGCTTATTTCCCTCTGCCAGGGCCCTGGCAGATCAGTATGGGCCCGAATGTGGCCAACAAAGGCAGGAAACACTCTTTGGCATATAAGACTTTGCAGCTGAACCAAAACGTGGAAAACCTGAGAGGTAGGTAATATATATAGCGAGGTTTCCAATGGCCCAACAATCCCTGCCACATATATTCTATCAGTATACAAATTGAAGAGTTGATCCTTGAAAAGAGAAAAGGCCATAAGGCAGGCTGTGAATTCTGCAGCTTGGGCAGAAATTGGACCTAGGGGCTGCTTTTCTTTAATTGAACCAGAGACCACCACTGCATAGTTCTTGGAAGAACCATCAGTAAACACTGAGTGCACTCCCTTAAGGGGGGAAGTTTTAATAATTCTTGGAAAGATAACAGGATGATTCTTAAAAAATGAAATTAAACAAGAATCAGGATAATGGTTATCAAAATTGGCTCCAGTGGTTGTGATGAACAAGGTCCATCCATCTTGAACCCTCTGTAGCCTTGTTATTTCCTCTTTTTGATAAGGGATTATAAATTTATTTGGGATCCTGCCAAAAACTTGTAAACTAAAATCATATGCCTTCCATAGAAGCTGTAGCACCATTTCATAATATGGGGTCACTACCTTCTTAGAGGAAGCGGGTAAATGTAATCAATAAATGGGTCCCCCTTGCCAAAAAACGCCAGTAGGTGAAAATTGTGAAGAAAAAACCATGAAATAAAAAGGGCAAACATAATCGAGGCGGCAGAGATGTGCTCGCTCAAGGGCATTAAGCATCAAGGGCTTCTTTTGCTGCTGGAGTCATGATCCTGGAGGATGCAGGGGAAGGGTCCCCAGGCAGCATGTCATAAAGGGGCTTAAGAGCTCCCATAGGAATGGGAAGGGAAGAACGGATCCACTGAATGTTTCCCAATAATTTCTGCCAATCATGGAGTGTTCGCAAATGGGAGCAGTCCAACTGCAGCCTCTGAGGCTGAAGCCCGACAGATTGGATTTGAAAACCCAGATAAGAATAGGGAGGCTGCATCTGCACCTTTTCTGGGTCCAAAATGAACTCATGTCCCTCCAGAAGGGTCTACAATTCTGCAAACATTAAGAAACTTTTCTCTTTTGTTGATGCTGCCAGGAGCACATCATCCATATAGTGGACGATATGGAAGGAAGAGAACTTACGCCTAAGTGGATCCAAGCAAGCAGCAACATACATCTGACAAATTGAAGGACTGGCAGCCATACCCTGGGGGAGGATGACCCACTGATAGCACAGGGCAGGTTCTTGGAAATTAATGGAGGGGAAGCTAAAAGCAAAGCGAGGGCTATCCTGAATATACAGGGGTATAGAGAAAAAAACAATCCTTAAGGTCTATAATGACCAAATGCCATTTTGGGGGAATTGCCACCGGGGAGGGTAAGCCCTGTTGAAGGGGTCCCATAGGTTTCATGGTGGCATTAATGGCACGCAGGTCCTGTAACAGTCACCACTTGCCAGAGGACATTTTTATAACAAAAATGGGAATATTCCACGGAGAGATAGAGGGGATGAGATGTCCAGCCTGCAATTGTTCTTCAACTAACTCATGGGCCGCCTGAAGCTTCTCTCTAGACAAAGGCCACTGTTCTACCCACACTGGAGTGTTATCAAGCCATTTAATTGGTATGAGGGTGCAACAGTGACCCTCATCAAAAATACCCCAAGCCTCTTCTATCTTTGGTGGCACGGGTATCAGTTGGGAGGTCCACTACTGTGCACGTTAAACCTTGTTCTGACTTTCTTAGGCCTTTGCCCTGAGCCCATCCCATCTTTTGCATTATTCTAGTGGCTTTCTGGACTGATGAGGAGTTCTGCGTGGTGAGAATGACCCCCATGTCTTCCAAAATGTCCCAACCCCACAAATTAACTGGGAGTCCTGGGAGGACATATGGTTAGAAATAGCCTGTCTTTCCCTCTGGATCCTGCCATTTAAAAATTTTTGTACTTTTTTGGGGTTTTGCCTGGCCAATCCCCTGAAGGGTAGTGGTCCCCACCTGCTTAGGCCATGCTTTAGACCAATGCTTTTCAGCCAGAACAAAGACATCTGCCCCCATATCCAAAATTCCTATAAAGGGTCTATCCTCTACCTTTAAGGTGAGCTGAGGGCATTTATTCAAGGTGGCTACCCAAAATGTGGATGCTCCAGTTTCCCCTAAGCATTGTTTTTCCCATTTCTCTTTTAACACTGGAGTGTCACATGGGACCACTGGTATGAGGATTAATTGGGCGATTCGGTCCCCAGCTGGCACTATTGCCACTCCCTTCTCCACAGATGCCATAATCCTAATTTCCCCTTCCGAGTCAAAATTCACCAGTCCGGGATGTATACGGAAGCCCCTAAGGAACACATTAGCGCATCCCAACAGTAGGCCCATAGTACCTAGAGGTAGGGGTCCCCTCACCCCCGTAGACAGGGCCTGTATTCCCATTTCAGGTGTCAAAACTGTTTGACTGGCGGGGCTGAGGTCCAGTCCTGCACTCCCCGGGGTTCCTCGGATGAGGTCTGAGATATGAAGGGGTTGTTCTGAGGGACAAAACGGATCCTGCCACTCTCTGGAAGGGAGGTCATAGCCCCATACGCACTGGCTTGGGGGCCCTGGGGCTGGGCCTTCTTCCAGTTTCCCTGATTGATAGGAGGAGGAAGAGGCCGTCCCTCCACATCTGTCTTAGAGTGACAGTCATTGGCCCAATGGTGTCCCCTCTTGCAGCTGGGGCACAGTCATGGACGGTGAAGATTGCTATTTAAATTTTGGGGGCTCTCTTTGTGAAAATATCCAATTTGGCCACAACCAAAGCAAGCCCTTGGTCCCTTGGTGGTACCATTATTGTTTCCCCCTTTTTGGGGTCCTAATGCAGTGGCCAAGACCTGCCCCTGAATAAAATTCCCATCGATGTCTCGACATATTTGGATATAGTCATTAAGACTCTTCTTCTGATGGGGATGGAGGGCTTCCTTACAGAACCTGTTAGCATTCTCATAGGCCATTTGTTTCACCATTGGCATAGAATTTCCTGCTAGTCCAAAAAGCCTCTCTGCTACTTGTATGAGTCGATCTACAAAATCTGAAAATGGTTTGGAGGGTCCCTGAAGGATTTTGGACAAGTGGTCCCCTCCGTCAGTTAGAGGGATGGCTGCAGTTGCCACCTGGGCATATAGTGCCAGATCATACTGAATTTGTTGCTGAATGTTCCCAAAAGCACCTGTCCCTGCTAGCATGTCAGCGTTTCTTTAGAGTTGCCCATTCAGCGCATTTTGAGTGGCAGTCTGAGTACATCTATCCTGGAACTCCCCCTTCCAAATAAGAAAGTCTCCCCCACTAAGCACTGCGCAGCAGAGCTGCTGCCAATCGCTGGGGGTGAGGTTAAGAGCCCTAAAAGACTCCATAAGAGATAACATAAATGGAGCTTGGGTGCCCTAAAGGCTGGCAGCTTCCTTTAATTGTTTTAAATCCTTAAAAGTCAGAGGTTCATGACGGCGAAAAACTTGTCCTGGATTGTTGGGATCTGGAATTTCCAGAACAGGGGCAACCACTGGATAGCACTTAATGCCTCCACAAGGAGCCTCCTCTGAGCCAGACCGAAAGGGAGGGGCCAGAGAGGTCTTAATTGCATCAGAAAGAGGATAGGGAGGAGGCTTATCCTTCTCCCCAGAGGTCCTTTTTGTCTTTTCTTTTAAACGGGCCCTGCGTAATTCCCTCTGCAATGCTGCAATTTCCCCTTCCAAAGTTTCCTCTTCCGAATCTGTTGATTCCCCCAAGCTCTCTTCAAAATCAGCCAAAGAGGGATAAAGGCGTGTCTGCGCTGAAGAATTTTGCTTGGGATGAGCCCCTAAGTTTTGAGAGGAAACTGTGTCCCATGACTCTTCTCCCTCCTTCCAGTCTGGAGGTTTTTTTACTCTTTCTTTCCTCTATCTTATCGAGCCTCCCCTTAGCAGGCTGAGAAAGTGGTTCTGCCTCTGTGTCGGGGAGGCCATATCAGAACAAAGAGAAGCTTTAGTCTCACTATCTTTAATCTCAGATAACACCTCTTTTGTTGCTTCCAAGGCCTACTTAACCCGGACTTTCTCTGTAAGCAAAGCATCCCTTATCAGTCTCTAAAGGGAGAACGTGGCAATTGGCAGGACTTCAGGCCCCTCCTTTCTCAATGTTTTTTGAAGATCCCTGCGAACCTGTTCCCACTCAGAAATATTGAGAGCTCCACTGGTGATGAACCAGGGACTCCACATTTCTATAATTTTAAGAAAATCATCCAAAGTCTTAGTTTTTACAGCTGTTCCCTGCTCTTTAAATAACCTCTTTAACTGAAACTTTAGCTGTGATTTACCCGGGGTATTCCCTATTTCTTAATTATCTCTTATCTCTTAATTATCTCTTAATTCTCTTAATGATCTCTTATTTCTTAATTATATCTTAATTCCCAATGCACTCTGGCCGGACAACAGGATGACCCGGTCCACAATCCTCACCTTTCCGATCTCGGTGGGAATTTCCAATTACCGCACCAGCAGGGTCTGGAACCACAAGTCTCGGCGGAGGGTGTCCAGATTGAATGAAATCCACAGAGCACGAGGTTGAGGTGAAACAGCAGCTTGCTTATTGTTCTGTTGGGGCTAGCTTTTATACCATGGCACCAAATGGGGAGGGGGCTGTGAAGGGACTGCCACCTGAACCAAGGAGGGACTCTCACCTGACCCCAGTAGGGGTCAAGGACTGATCACGTGCACTCAACCTTCCTCATCCAACTCCAGGAGCAGAGGGAAATTATGATTCTCTGCAGATAAGCACCTCAAATGGGGGTAGGGAAATATAACTTGGGGTAGCAATTCCCACAGTTGTTTTCCTTCTAGTACTTTAGGTAAGACTGTGTTTGTGGATATCAATTGTTTAAATCTGTTTTTGTCATTGAATATCTTGTTTTCTTCATCAATGGTGAATGAAAGCTTTGCTGGTTACAGTAGTCTGGGCTTGCATCCATGTCTCTTAGTGTCTGCAACACATCTATTCAAAACTTTCTGGCTTTCATGGTTTCCCATGAGAAGTCAGGTGTAATTCTGTTAGGTTTACCTTTATATGTTACTTAACCTTTTTCTTTTGCAGCTCTTAACATTCTTTCTTTGTTCTGCATGTTTTGTGTTTTGATTATTATATGGTGAGGGATTTTTTTGTTGATCCAGTTTATTTAGTGTTATGTATGCTTCTTGTTCCTTCATAAGAATATCCTTTTTTAGGTTGGGAAAGTTTTCTTTTATAACTTTGTTGAACATATTTTCTGTTCCTTTGAGCTGGAATTCTTCTCCTTCTACTCCTATTATTCTCATGTTTGGTCTTTTCATGGTGTCCCAGATTCCTGAATGTTTTATGCTAAAACTTTGTATGATTTAGTGTTTCCTTTGACCAATGAGTCTATTTCCTCAATAGAATCTTCAGTGCCTGAGAGTCTTTCTTCTATCTCTTGTATTCTGTTGTTTATACTTGTCTCTGTAGTTCCTATTCATTTACCCAGATTTTCAATTTCCAGAGTTCTCTCGGTTTGTGTTTTCTTTATTACCTCTATTTCAATCTTCAAATCTTGAATTGTTTCCATTACCTGTTTGATTGCTTTTTCTTGACTTTCTTTTAGGGATTTATTAATTTCTTCCAGCTTTCTGTTTTTCACCTCCTCCATTTCTTTAAGGGGTTTTTCTACTTCCTTTTTAAAAGTCTTCATCATTTTCATTAAGCAACATTTAAAGTCGTTTTCTTCTATATCTTCTGGGTTAGGATGATCAAGTTTTCTGTTGTGTGTCTGCTGAGTTCTGGTGGCACCATGTTGCTTTTTAGGATGTTGGAGGAGTTCTTGCATTAGTGCCTTCACATCTCTTCCTTTAGCTCTCATGTCTACAGAATTGGATTCCATGGAGCTTGTAGGGAAAGACCCATTGGGGGTGGGGTAGACGGTTGCTTTGCAGACCAGATCCCTGCTGGCTGCTAGGTATGCTGAAGGCACCTTGTGAGGGGGGCTGACCTTTTTCCCACATGGAGGTTTTAGAGAGTCAGGATTCTGGGGTCCCAGAGGCACTGTTGTCTCACCTCTTATGTTCATCAAGTATTGGTCTCCATGGAGCTTGTAAGAAATGATGTGTTGGGGGTAGGGTAGATGGCTGTCTAGCAGACCAGCTCTCTGCTGGCTGCTAGAAATGCCAAAGGCACCTGGGGAGGGGGCCTGTGGCTTTTCTCCCAAATGGAAGTTTTAGGGAGTGGGAGGTCCAGTGTTCCAGGGCCACTGTTGTTCCACCTCTTATGTCCACCAAGAATTGTTCTCCACTCGCTTTTCTTCTTTTAAAATGGAAATTCTCCCTTCTAGAGAATATTTTTTATTCCCAGGGAAACAGGAATGTGTAGTTACCCTGTCATTTTACCTGTGTGTAATTGGACTTTGATAACCATAAATGATAATGTGACTGTTTTTGTCATTGAAGTCATTATCAGGACCTCTGAGAGTTGATGGCTTTGACCTAGTAGTATCATGACAAAGCAAGCACTTTTGTGTGCACAGAGTCAGATTTCTGTCTGAATTCTATTTTCTTTGTCAACCATCTAACTTGTCAGAGATCCAGCTATAGAATAAAACTAATTAACAAAGACCCAAAATAATTCTGAAGAATGGAAGAAAGGAAGAAGAGAGAGAAGCATGTGTTGAGATTATTGCTGTGTTGCTATAGTGACAGAGTTATTGTGTACTGAAAGTAACTGTGCCAAGAGTGATACGATTGTCTCTGTATAATACAATTGTCGAGCATTAATACACAGTTGTGATGGATAGTTTATGTCAACTTGGCACAAGCTAAAGTAATGTGAGAGAAGAGAGTCTCAATTAAGAAAATATCTCCATAAGATCAGGCAGCAGGTAGACTTGTAGGACATTTTCTTAATTAGAGGTTGATGGGGAGGTTTCAGCTCATTGTGGGTGGTGCCATCCTGGGCTGTGGTCCTAGGTTCTATTGGAAAGCAGGCTGAGCAAGTTATGAGGAGCAAGCCAGTAAGCAACACCCTTCCATGGCCTCTGCATCAGTTCTTCCCTCTTAGTTCGTGCTTTGTTTGAATTTCTGTTCTGACTTCCTTCAACAATGGAGTAAAATGTAGAACTGTAAGCCAAATAAACCCTTTTCTCCTCAACTTGATTTTGGTAATGATGTTGCATCACAGCAATGGTAATCTTAGCTAGGAGACTAATAATAATACCTTCCTTCTAGGAACTTGGATATGAATGATTTGTATCAGCTTCAGACCATCAAAGAGTTTATAAATATTATATCAAGCCTTTCCTTGGATGATTAAGTCAGTCAGGCTGTAACTGGCTAAAGTTAGGAGAGAATAGAAATGAGGAAGTAATGAGGGAGAACAAAGGAGTGTGTACATGTGAGAAAAGAGAGGGGAGAAATCACAGGCTTACTTTCTTGATACCTTCCCTGGAATGTTTTTTTGAAATTGGTAATAATTTAATACATTGATTCTTATTAGGTTCACAGTTTTATGATAATTTATATGTTGTTCATTTTTAACAGTTTTTACATGAATTTATTAATGCAATATGTGATGATAATATGCATTAAATATAAGGTTTTTCTCTAGTTTTTTTATTAATTGATTAAGTTCCCCGGAATTTTTGACCATTCTCAGAACCTTTCCCCATCACTATGAACAGAGTTTGATTTCCTGTTGGGTTTTCTTTTTGTTTTTTACTTGGAACCAGTGTTCTTTTCATAACAGCATGGGCTGTTATGTGCCTCAGAAAAAAGATACACAAGATCTATTAGCTTTTCCTGTGTAGTGCCTGGAACCTACTCCCAGACATGGTAGTTAGAAGCAAGATGGAACAGATGTCCAACCTCCTTGCTGCCCCTCTTGACCTTGGGGTCTTTATTCCCAGCAGTATCAGTAATATCTTTATTTTAGAGAAACTAGGACTGGGAAACTTCAGATCTCTCCTACAGAGAATCATGGAGTTGGCCTTGTTTTGCTCACGTGCATGGCATGTATCATAAGTTAGAGTCCATGCATGGCTCCTGGGGAACTGTGTGCCTTTCATTTCCTGAGAAACCAAGGTGCTCCCTCAAGCAGTGGAGCATTTTTGTTGTCTATATATCTCTGTGTTCCCTAGAAGTCAGGAAAAAATATAGAAGCTTGTCTGAATGATTAATCTTAGACATTATCCTTGTGTACCCTTGACAGCTTTTGCAAACATCATTGTATCCTGGCAACTACAATTGTGTTCTTCATGGCAACCACCATTGTCTTATGTTTCTGATAAGGGGATAAAAAGTCTGATTTCTTGAAATAAAGTTATCTCAGCCCTAGTCTTCTGTGACCCCTCTGAACCTGGTTTGATTGACATTTTCTCTGACCACAATCAGATAATCCTGGCTTGGTTAAGAAAGCACTGGTGCTTATACTGGCCTCATTATCCCTCCCTGGATACATTTTTCTACTTCATAACTTCCAACTATCAATTATCAAGAGAAAAACTCAACAGTCACCAGAAAATAAATAATAATAAGTGGGTGGACAAACTTGGCCTGGAGTGGGCATCAGAACTGCTTCTAAAGACCTACAGTTCTAGCATGCAAAACAGTAAAGTGACTTGTTCTCTGTGGCCCCAGAAGGTAGAGATATAATGCATATGAAATCTGCAAAGGCAATAAGGGCTTCTTTCAGAAAATGATTCTAAAGTTTTAAAATACTGTCAACCCAGTCAAAATTCCAACATGGATGGTTGAGGGTCCCACAAAATCCCCATGTAGCTGAGGAGAGATTGACAGTTGATGGCTGATGGGAGGAGGGAGCATCAGT